GGAGGGGTAGGAAGGAAAGGGGGAAAGTGAAAGGGGCGGGAGTCTGGGGGGGGGAGTGTCAAAGAAAGAGTCAAGAATAGAACGAAGGCGGTCGTTGATGGAACAGTGGAGGAGGGATTTCTGGAAAGAGTTTAAGGAAAGGGGGAGGGAGCAGGAGGAGCCTCGGGTGATGTATCTGTGAATGGACCCCAAGGGTCGTGAGTGAAGGAGGAGCAAAGTTTCCTGAAGTGGTCCCTTTTGGCTTTAAAAAAGGCGCGGACATTTTTTTTTTTTTGGCCTGGAGTGCCTAGCTTTGGAGGGAGGAGCGATTGGGGGGAGAGCTGTTTTGAGCAGAGTGGCGTAACTTGCGTGAGAGTGATTTAAGAGAATGTAGTTGGGGAGACCACCAGGGGATGGGGGGGAGTTGAAGGAAGGAGGGCGGGGACGGAGGTGATGGGAGCAGTTGAGGAAAAGGATAGAGTAGAAAGATTGAAGTAGAGTGTCGAGAGAGTCGGGTGAGGTGCAGTGGTCAAGAACGAGAAGAAGAGAGCCGGAGTTGGTGAGGGACCTGGCGAGTGAGTTAAAGAGAGACAGGGGAGGCTGGGATTGAAAGCGGAGGGGAGAGAAGTCAGGGAAAGGGGAAGGAGGGGGAGGAGGAGAAGAGGGGATGGTGTCGGGGGGAGGGATAGGGAGAAGCGGATCTCGTAGTGGTCAGTAGGGTAGGAGGTCCAACCGGAGACAAAGGAGAAGAGGAAGGAAGAGACACTGGAGATGTCAATGGAGGAGGAGCTGGAGCCCTGGGAGCAGGTAATAGCTCCCCGGGTGTTGCAGACCTTGAGGTCGAGAGCATCGAGGAGGAGGTTGAGGTAAGTACCTTTGGCGTTTTGATTTTGGAAGCTCCAGCGGGAGGAAACAGCATTGACATCTCCAGCGAAGAGAAGGCGAGGGGGGGGGGGTGGGAGCCAAAGAGGGAGATAAAGGAATCAACGATGGGAGAGTGAGAAGTGTGGTGGGGTTTGTAAACGGAGCATAAAGTGAGGTGGAAGCCGGGATATCGAGGATTGCAAGAGTGCGGTTGCTGTTGGAAAGTCGCGGGAGGAAGATAACGGGAAGGCTTTGGTTGAGGACTACGATGCAAGAATTACAGCGGTTATGGGAGATGGGAGCATGGAGGAGGAGGGGTGGGGATGGGGGAGGGCGTTGTCGCGGAACGGAAGTTCTTGGAGGAGAAGGATATCAATTTGAGAGGACTATGCGAATTGTAAGATGGAGAGGAAGCCAAGAAGGGATCGGTTACAGTTAAGCTGTAAAAAGCTAATCATTTAAGTGAGATTATGGGTATTCAGGAAGGAGTTTTCAGCGGCCTTGATGACCAGGCAGGAAAGTGAGTCTGCAGAGGGGTAAACAACAGTCTTCGGTTGTTTTTAATTTTAGCTACGAGGAGTAAAGAGAAGTGACCCTACGCTCGCAAACCTACAAATATAGAAGATGGGAAAAACTCGAGGCAATCTCAGAACCTCCAAGATGTACCCCTCAAGCACCAAAGGCAATACCAAATCTTATGTATGAAGCCCAGCCCAAAATTAGGGAATTAGAACTTGGTACCCAAATCAAGGAGGAAAACATGACGCCAACAATGGCTGACCACTTGAGGAACGCCGACAGGCATATAATAATTCATCCATCCATCACGCACGTATATTTTCAAATAATTTTGATTTTCAAACAGAAATAATGTAGAATATTTTTCTCTCATTATATAGTAGGTATTTAAAATATGTATATAATAATATGTATATAAAAATAGTATTTATTATCAAATTGTTAAAGTGATACTCCTGTTGAAGGACTGACAAGTCTGAAAGCTTGAAAATAAAAAGTTGTACAAGAAACTTAACCCTGGAAGCTTTATTTATTTTATAATAATTCTAAGAATAGTTTATTTCAACTCCCGACATGTCAGGGAATTCCTGTCACTCTCTTCAAGGGAATGGTGACAGGAAGTCACTGAAATGTCGGGAGTTAAACTATAGGTTGATGTGTTGTTCTCTGTATCTACTTCCAACCAATCTTCAGAGACACACTTATGTTATCAGCTGGCCAGTATACAAAATCAGGGGAATGGTTGAATCCTAAGTAGAGCTATACTGTAAGTAGAACTAGGATTCAACCATTCCACTGAAGAGAATGACAGGAAGTCACTGAAATGTCAGGAGTTAAACTATAGGTTGATGTGTTGTTCTCTGTATCTACTTCCAACCAATCTTCAGAGACACACTTATGTTATCAGCTGGCCAGTATACAAAATCAGGGGAATGGTTGAATCCTAAGTAGAGCTATACTGTAAGTAGAACTAGGATTCAACCATTCCACTGAAGAGAGTGACAGGAAGTCACTGAAATGTCGGGAGTTAAACTATAGGTTGATGCGTTGTTCTCTGTATCTACTTCCAACCAACCTTCAGAGACACACTTATGTTATCAGTTGGTCAGTATACAAAATCAGGGGTATGGTTGAATCCTAAGTAGAGCTATACTGTAAGTAGAACTAGGATTCAACCATTCCACTGAAGAAAGTGACAGGAAGTCACTGAAATGTCAGGAGTTAAACTATAGGTTGATGTGTTGTTCTCTGTATCTACTTCCAACCAATCTTCAGAGACACACTTATGTTATCAGCTGGCCAGTATACAAAATCAGGGGAATGGTTGAATCCTAAGTAGAGCTATACTGTAAGTAGAACTAGGATTCAACCATTCCACTGAAGAGAGTGACAGGAAGTCACTGAAATGTCAGGAGTTAAACTATAGGTTGATGTGTTGTTCTCTGAATCTACTTCCAACCTACAAATGATTTTCAAAATCTAAGAATAATATTGTAGTGAAGTATTTATTATATTTTATATACAGATTACTAATTTTTTGATATTTTAAACTTCCCTCCTTGCTTTCTTATAAAGTTTGACTTTGTGCTTGCATTATATAAATTGTCGTGTTATTCTGAAGTTTGTCTTTCCTAATTTTTTTATGATATAATATTTTAGGGTACTTAGAAAACTATCTTCTTATCTGCTATCTTGTTTACACACTTGATAACAGTAACTATTTAAACCATGCTGTGGTAAAATTTCTCATTCAGTACTTTTGTCTGAAGATGGTAACAACATTGTTACACTGAAACTTCACACACTATTTATTAGAATTTGGTTTTATTACCTTGTGTCTATCTCTTATATAGTATATTTTTCTTATTTTAACATGTTCTGAGGTTAAAACGACATTTGAAAATTATCCCGCATGTGTTTCTTTTGAACGAAAAATCAAAATTTATTTTAAGGAGAAATAACGAATATTTCTAACCTTATGGATGAGGTATGAAAGGATGAATTGTGAAGAGTAATGATAAACGTAAAAATAAAGTGTCCAGGGATGGGAATCGAACCCAGAGTGTTCCACTTACCGGGCAGATGCCATGTCCACTAAGCTACCCTGGACATATTTTTCCGTTTATCATTACCCTTCACAATTCATTCTTTCATACTTCATCCCTAAGGTTAGAAATAATCGTTATTTCTCCTTAAAATAAATTTTGATTTTTTTGTTCAAAAGAAACACATGCGGGATAATTTTCAAATGTCGTTTTACAATCACAAGCTGCATTATATTGTATTATAAATGTTCTGAAGTCTTGCCTGCATTGTTTGACTTTAAAAAGCTTTGATATTGGATGTTTTTTTTTTTTTGGTAACAACACTGAAATGTCACATACTATTTATTTATTTGCTCTATGTATTTATACGTTGACTTTTATATTAACAATAGAACCACTATGCGAGGACAATTCTCTACAATGGAGTTTTCATTAGCAAAATTACTACTTTACTATATTTTATACACTAAAGGATATTTGTCTCTGCAATTAGGTGTTCTATACAAGGAGGTTCTAATGTATAGGCTTTTATCTGTCCATGGCACTCAGAGCAACTTTCTTCATGTCCATATTTCAAAATGCTAACAACTCTGCCTTTGCCGGTCCCAAGCCCGGATGAAAAAGGAGGAGGGGGAGCAGTAACAAGCTTGCCAACAAACCTGGGCTCAGCTGATAGGTCCCTGTAAGGTCTCCAGGGATATAGAATCTGCTGCACATGGCGTCTGTTCCTCATGTCAGAGGCGGCCATTTCTTTTGGAGCTAAGTCGGCCTGCCACTGAGTAGTGCTCCCAGTCTTAATGACACAGGCAGATGCATTCTACTTCACCCAGTCATGATGGTTGTCAAACAGACACCATCAAGGGTCACAACTTGATACCCTAATATGATTGAGTGGAGATAAGAAAGAATAAGAAAATGCTAACTATGATAAGGCACAATTTTGATTATCCCTATATATAGTCACGACCGTCATGGGCGGGCCGGTTCTGTCACGGATGCGCGCGCATCATCATTATGATCATTATCATTATCTAATGATAATAATAATAATAATTATTATTATTATTATTATATTATTATTATATAGTCACGACCGTCTTTCCTCAATTCCTCATCGGCCGCTGTCACGGATGCGCGCGCACAGGGAGGTCACGTGCTCGCCGGCAGCCAACGGGCGCGCGCCGCCGGCATTATGTCATAGATTATAAACACAAGGTAATAAGGCCAAATAAAAAATAGTGTGTGATAAGGCACAATTTAGATTATCTACTTATATAATTGCCTTATTCTGTCTGTGTGAAGTTCACGGATAGATTTTGGTCAGAATGGATAAAATAAAAAAAGTGTCAAGGGATGGGAATCGAACCCACGACCTTCCGCTTACCGGGCAGATGCCATGACCACTAGGCTACCCTGGACATATTTTTCCGTTCACATTTTTATTTTTATATTTTCAAGACACACACAGTTTAGGGCGGGACGTTTCACAAAAGAGACATCCACGGCGCCAATTTATAATTGTAACGAATAGTATTTTAATTAAAACATTTTTAAAATATATACGCACTCGGGTAAAAACCCGGACGTTGCCCGGGCCATTCGTCTAGTTAATATATTGAGACGTTACAGAAACAATTTTCAATTGTACATAAATTCCTTTAAAATGTTATTTTAATTTTTCATGTGTTTATTTTCAATTTCTTTTTCTCATTCATTAAAAGTCAATGATGTACATGCAAAATTAGTAAAAACTCAATAAAAACGATATGTAAAAATAGATATAAGAAAATGGCTTGTAAACAAAGGCGGCAATAAAATGAGTTGAGGTAAAATGTCTATTCCATTAACAAACATTTCACTTTTAAAATAATGAACTTAAAAATTAAAGTTTTACAAAACAGAAAATTAGCGTTTTATAAAAATAAAAACGTGGCAATATATAGTCACGACCGTCTGTCGTGGCCTCTGTCACGGATAATATACAGTTATTATCGTCATGCGTTCTTAATTCTGTCACCATTTGCTTTTGGTTCAGTGGTAGAATGCTTGCCTGCCACGCTGGCGCCCCGGGTTCGATTCCCGGCAGATGCATTTTTTTTTTTTTTCAATTTTTAAAACTCATTTATATATTATACAAGAATGACATCCACGGCGCCAATTTATAATTGTAACGAATAGTATTTGAATAAAAGCATTTAATCGGGTAAACCCCGGGCGTTGTAGATTATAAACACAAGGTAATAAGACCACATCCATGATAAGGTACAGTTTGGATTATAGATTATAAACACAAGGTAATAAGACAACATCCATGATAAGGTACAGTTTGGATTATACATATATTATATTATATTATATATATATAGTCACGAGAGTCTTTCCTGATCAGTCAGTCATTGGCCGGCCGCCTCTGTCACGGATGCGCGCGCACAGGGAGGTCACGTGCTCGCCGACAGCCAACGGGCGCGCGCCGCCGGCGGGGGGGGGGCATTACGTCACTCAAGGTCACCTACGCGCCAACGATGACACGTGATTGTAGCCGTCCAATAGGAGGGCTACCGGCCATCCGTGACAGAGGCGGCCTATGACTGATTGATTAGGATATGCATTTATTTAAGGCGCCAATTTATAATTGTAACAAATAGTATTTGAATAAAAACATTCAATCAGGTAAAACACAGGCGTTGCCCGGGTCATTAGGCTAGTAGATTATAAACACAAGGTAATAAGACCAAATCTAAATAAATAGTGTGATGTTTCATAACAGCATTGTTACCTCACAATATTTATTTGGTCTTATTACCTTGTGTTTAAAATGCTAACCAATCAAATCAGAATTTGAACACAATTCTTTTATGCAAGTTTGATGTTAATATTTAACTGTATTCATTGTAATAACATATGGTATCCTTCTGCATCTTTTTTAATAAAGGCATAAAAGTGCATCAAATCCTATGTGGAAAAATATTTTAATTTTATTCAACTTATTGTCCTGGTGTGGAACTAACACCTACCCACATATTCTCATGCCCAGCAATGGCCGCAGCCTTGCAGTAAATTGGCATGGACCCAGAACAGCAGCTTTACACACCCAAGATAGAGGACATTGCGACTGCTGTGATAGAGATGTATGGAGACATCTGAGGCTCTTCATTGGACATGACAACAACAACAGAAAATTGACATGGACCCAGAACAGCAGCTTTACACACCCAAGATAGAGGACATTGCGACTGCTGTAATAGAGATGTATGGGGACATCTGAGGCTCTTCATTGGACACAACAACAACAGAAAATTGACATGGACCCAGAACAGCAGCTTTACACACCCAAGATAGAGGACATTGTGACTGCTGTGATAGAGATGTATGGAGACATCTGAGGCTCTTCATTGGACACAACAACAACAGAAATTTGACATGGACCCAGAACAGCAGCTTTACACACCCAAGATAGTGGACATTGCTGTGATAGAGATGTATGGAAACATCTGAGGCTCTTCATTGGACACAACAACAACAGAAATTTGACATGGACCCAGAACAGCAGCTTTACACACCCAAGATAGAGAACATTGCTGTGATAGAGATGTATGGAGATATCTGAGGCTCTTCATTGGACACAACAACAAGGGGGAGAACTACTTAACACTTTGAGGAACATTGGTTTCACAACCGAAATAGCCCTGTGAACCAGGATAAAACTTGATTTTTTTTTTAAATCATATTTATAAAAATTTATTACCTAGAACAGTGAAATTTGATGCTTGTATCAAAATATGTCTATAAAACACAAAAATGCAATAAAAAAATATATGTTTATTGGCACTTTTTCAAAATAAAAAATAAAAATAAAAAAAGAACTAAAAAAATGCAAACTGCCAAAAAAAACGCCACTGTTTGTAAAAAAAATAATCTGAGGAAATTATTAAAATTTTTATATTTATATACATTGTTATTCCCAGTACTTCATTTCTGCATGGTACTTTTCGAAGCACTCTCCAACGCAAAGTGGAATCTTGCATTGTTTGCACTCAAATCTGGTGTCCTTCCGGGCTGCCTTCCCAGTCTTGTGCTTTGCACTATCTGCACAAACTTTGCACCTTCTTTGCACTGCTTTTCCACTTTCTGGGGCTATTTTATAGCAGTAGTGCTTCCCAAGTAGCCTGGCAACATCAGTTTTCGAAGTTGTTTCTTTTTCAGAGTGTTCAATGCTTGCCTGATTGAGCAACTCCCCACCGACAGCCAGATAGAAGTCCTTCATACTTATTTTTTTATCAGGATTTGCTTTATTGTAAATGATGTTGCCATTTACAAAACAAAGTGAAAAAAGATGGAAGAATATTTTTTTCCACCATTTCAATGTTTTTCTGCTAAAAGAATAATATGCCATCATCTGATCGCTCCGGTCCACTCCTACCTTCCCCTTGTTGTAATCGATGACAGCATCAGGCTTGAACAACTCTTCTCTGGTTGGGGTTTTGGGCTTGACTGGCATCATTTTACCTTCATGGACAGTGGAGAGCATGAAAACATCTCTAACATCTTTCCATTTGATGGCTAAAAGATGTTTTCTTCTAATCTTTATAATCTCTCCTCTCTTTAGTTTTTGGGAAAATTCGGTTTTTGGCATCGTTTTCCTGGAAGGCATAACTGTGCCAACAGCTAGGGTCTTTTTTTCCCAAAGTTTATCAAATAACTCAGGAGAGGAAAACCACCTATCAAAATAGATATGATAGCCTTGTCCATAAAACCTCTTTGCCAGCCTGTCCACGAGGTTCGGAATGGAGTTGTGCTCTGGCTGCTCAGGATCCTTGCCAGTGTAGATATCAAGATTTTAAGCGTATCCAGATACAGCTTCACAAATCTGGAATATCTTGATGCCATATTTATGAGGTTTTCCTTGTATATACACTCGAAAACCCATACGTCCTCTGAACGGACACATCGCCTCATCAATAGTGAGATTTTGCTGAGGAGTGTAGGCATTCCCAAAAGAATATATGAGGGATTCCAAAACTGGTCTTATTTTGAAGAGTCTGTCATGCCCTGGTTTTCCATATTCAATGTATTTTGAATTGTCATTCAAATGTAGCATTGACAAAATTCTCATAAATAGTGTCCTTGGCATATTTATGGACTGGCAAAAGGCATTCTTCAGGAATCCGTGAGTAGACCAGTAGTCTTTCATCCCAGGCTTCTTCACCAAAGACATGTGTATGATGACACAGAAAAAGAGCTTTATCTGTGCCACTGACACAGCCTTCCACTTAGCCAGCATGCCATGAGGCTTGAGAGGACCCTTCTTGGACTCCCGATCAATAATACTCCTGGCATATCGGTTTGTTTCCTCTTTGATGCTTTTGAAAATATTCTCTGTAAAGAAGAGACTGAACGCATCAAATGGTGAGGAAATATCCCCCACTAAATTTAGTCCAGGGCGGGCGGTGAAAGGGGGAGGAGTTGGGGGCGAGGGATCATCTTTCCTCCAGGTGCCGGCGGCAACATTGGAGCCAGCGGCGGCAGTGGACGTGTCCCGACATGTCATCAGCATGCGAACTGGAGCTACTTCTAATCGTGGCCGTTTAGCAGGAATTTCTTCCCTTTCTTCCTACTCAAATTCTAATTCATCGGAGGCTGAATTTTCGTAATCAGGATCCTTCACTTCATCATCAATTTCTGAGCCAGAATCGTAAAGATATTCAAGAATATCTTGAATGTCTTTATCTAAATGAACTTCTGATCCCAAACCTTTTGAAGTGCTAGGTTGATCCAAAGGATTTATTTCAATAACGTTATGAAATTAGAGGCAAAATAACTTAGAAAAAACGAGCGAAAAGAGATTAGAGATAACAAAAACAAACTTGCCTGTTATCAGTTTGTCAGCAAGCTAGCCAATGAGATTGAGCAACAGATGACTAATTTTTTTGCCTGCCAACAGTATCGTCCTGACATCTAGTGATCATTTTTGTAACTATTCATGATAGGCCGATGATTTGCCGAAGGGATTTCTTGACGTACTGCGTTCTATGATTTTCTATTGATTTTTAAAGTGCCGCGACGTATAAAAACGGGGTTGGTCCGCTAGGCTTAATAGCATATGACGTATAAAAACGGCGTTGGTCTTCAAAGTGTTAACACAGCCAGGCAATCACTCTTCAATGGATACCAAATTTGCTCCTAAAGTAATGAAAGAGCGAAGGAAATACCTTGCCCTTGAAGCTGGACTTCTAAAGGTCAAATAAATCTCCTATTAGGTCAAGAGTATAAAGATATGATAAAACATGGTTTTTTTTTTCCCCATAAAAATGGTCATTGAATGCTTATATAAAAAAAAGATATTATGTCCTTTTAGTGAAAACATTATTGTCATGGTGGGAACCTAAGTTGACTAATTAACATGAAATAAAGTGTAATTTATTAAAGTCAAACTGCTTTTCACATATTGTTGTTGTTTTCTTATCCCCTTGTGCAAAGCTTACACGAATTCCATGAGTTCAATGGAATGGGGTGTAGGGGTGCAGATTCCATTGATCATGGCACCATGATCCACTTTGGTGAAAGTCCGACTGTAATTTGAGGTTGTTCCTAACATGGAAGCCTTTGCTGCCAACTGACAACATGAGTACAGACCTCCGTATCCCTGGAGAGGAACCCTTGCTGAGGTCTATCAACCAGGTCAGTTGAAGTCAGGATTTTTAAAGAAGTTTTTCTCCTCTTTCTAACAATGCTGCTGTTGGTCCACGACTGCTTATTTGTCAGTAATTCTGATTGTTTCACAGCTGGCCTTCATATCTGAAGGTGGTTCCCCTATCTGCCACCTGGGGACGTGCCCTGTAGCAGTCAGCTCTGCCGAGGGAGCTTTTCACATGTGTAGACATGTAGTGCGCTTACAGTAAAAGCAGTCGCCAACTTCTACCCACCATGATTATCATGGCCTGTACTACGTGTACTAGAGATGATAAGGCACAATTTAGATTATAGATTCTAAAAATAAAGTAATAAGACCAAATCCAAATAAATAAATTCAGAATGGAAGAAAGAGGATTTTAATAGATATGCTTTTAATTATATCTTTAAAAAAAGTGGGGTTTTCCACTTTTAATTCTAAGAATAATATTCTGTTTCTCATAAAACTATCTTCTTATCTGCTATCTTGTTTACACACCCACTTGATAACAGTAACTATTTAAAACATTGAGTCAAAAGGTGATCCATTAATTAAGATTATATAAAAGGGCATACCTGGATCTGTGTAAAGAAAAAAAAAATTTTTTTTCTTAAAATATTTTGAGAAAAGAGGGAGCAATCTCTCGAAATATTAAAAAAAAAAAATTTTTTTTTTTCTTTACAGATCCAGGTATGCCCTTTTATATAATATTTAAAACATGCTGTGGTAAAATTTCTCATTCAATACTTTTGTCTGAAGATGGTAACAATGCTGTTACACTGAAACATCATACACTATTTATTTGGATTTGGTCTTATTATATTGTGTGTACTAGAGATGATAAAAGAAAGTGTGAATTTCCATAAAGACATTTGACTGAATTAAAAAGGCACAATTTGGATTATAGATTATAAACACAAGGTAATAAGACCTAATCCCAATAAATAAATAGAGTATGACGCTTCGGTAACAGCGTTGTTACCATTATTTAAGTTTTATCTTTCTCAATCTAATGAACTGTTGAAGAAATTCTTTCCAATTGCTGTCCCAAATTTCATTTCTTCTGATAAATTCACTACTTTATTCTTAACAGGCAAAGGACCCTTCTTAAGTTTCCTATTCAAACTGAATGTTATCAATGATCCAACATGTGAATGCCGCTTAGATGTTGAATCACCATAGCATCTTCTTTTAACTTGCCCTCCGACTACTCAAATTGTATGTAGATACTTTGAAACATTACCAAATTCTTTTGTGCATATACTCTATCTTATGAGAACTTTGTTAAGTTTAGAACTATTTGTACAATAATTTACAAAACACTACTAATCCATCGTGTAAATAATTAATCATATATATGTAAATAATACTAGCACAGCACAATAGTCCTTTGGACTTCGTGCTTTTGTAACAATAAATAAAATAAAAATAAATAAATAAAAATCTTCAGACAAAAGTACTGAATGTAGTATTAGTTTTAGAATTAGTATTAGTTACCAAAACCTCACACACTATTTATTTGGATTTGGTCTTATTACCTTGTGTTTACATTTGATTGAAGAAACAAAAAAAAATAGTTTAACAAATACCACACAACACCAAGAAAAGGAATCCTTAAATAAAAGAGTCAACAACAATAAGAAAAAAAAAATCTTTATTGGTGCTGCAAGTTGTTTTTTTTTTTTTTTTTTTCATTTTGAAAGTACATAACTGATATAGGAGAGAGAAAAAAAAACCAAATCTCTTGGCCCAACAAAAACAGTACAAGAAATTGATTTGAAGTAAAGATACAAAAAATAAAAGGAAGAATGAAAGTACAGAGAGCCTTTTTTTGAACATGTCAACATAAGACAACCCAACGTGTGTTGTGGTATATATATAAGATATAAATGATACACTTGTTCATCTCTCTAGAGCACAAATAATAATAATATATATATATAATAATAAAATATATCATCAAAGAAAAAAAAATTTTTTTAAGTACACAAAAAAATTTTTTTTTAAGTACACCAAAAAAAAAATATATATATATATATATATCTAAAAAAAAAACATGCTTCAAGATTGCACTTCATATTTTTCAATCAAAAAAAAAAAAACTTCTAGCCAAAAAAGTTTCATAACAACAAATAATAATAATAATAAAAAAAAGCAGATCTCAAAGAAGTAAAAGAAGATTAAAAAAAAAAAAAGAATAAGTGAGAGAAGAAGAAGAAGAAAAAAAAAACAAAAGGCTTTGGCACATGTAAAAAAAAAAAAAAATTAAGTAATTATTTTTGATCTTTGCTAATGTGAGAGAGAGAAAAGAATTTTTTTTTACTATTTAAAAAAAAATTCCCCAATTATTTTTGATAGGGAGAGTTGTATTCAGTATGAAATAGGCTAAAAAAAAAAAGTAATAAATGAAGACACTCTAAAAAAAAAACAAAAAAAAATAACTATATAAAAATATTGGCGGGTAAAAAATATAAATATAATAAATAGATGCCTTTTATAATATCATAAGCTTGTTTTTTCGTTATAACAATGCCTTTGGGGGAAGTATAGGGGATTATATATATATGTCCTTTTGTAAATATAACTTTTTTTTAAAAACAAACTCTAATAATAATAAAATGTGAACCTTACTACAAATAATGGCACAGAATGAAGGAGGAGGGGGGTAAAAAAGGAGAAATTTCAATAATATGAAACAAACTCTATTGCTTTTTTTTTTTAAATAAAATATAAGGAAAAGAGATTCCGTTATTTAAAAAAAAAAAAGTTGAGAGAGATTCAAATACCAGTTTACATATACCAAATTCAACATTTGCATATACATAATAAAAAAAAAATTCAACCATTTGATAAAAAAGGTTTTTTTTCTTTAAGTACAACATTTGTAAAGAAGCAGCTAATTTTTGCTCTTTTTGTATAATAATTATATAATTTATTTCTATATATAAAAACATTTTCTTTAAGATCTTTAAAAAGAAAAAAAAAGAGCTACCAAAAAAAAATATCTCAAGTAAATCCATTGAGCCTCGCAAACAAAAAAAAAAGTAAATATATATAAATATATATAAGAGAGAGAAAGAGGAAGAGAGAGTTACACAGAGAGAGAGCCATATATTGAATATATAAAATAATAATAAATAATAAGTGAAAAAGAGAAAAATGAGAGAGAAAAATAATATAATTAGATTGCTGCCTTTAAAAAAAAAAAAATTTGAAAAAAAAAAAAATTTTTTTTTTGAGTAAAAACCTACTTCTAATCATTACAATGCCACAAGTTGTCAAATGAGATGGGGGGGAAGTGTCATTAATAAATAATAAACAACACTTTATAAGCCAAACAAACAAACAATAAGTACAACCAGCCACCCCAACCCACTATGGTAGAAATAGTTTGCCTATAAAAAAAAAAAGATATGGAGGTAGGTAGGTAAAGAGGGGGAGGAAGGGGGGGTAGAGAATTATTCCTACGAAATAAAATGTAATAAATTACAACAACAACAAAAAAAAAAAAACAACAACAGAGAGCAAAAAAAAAAAAAAGTTTGGGGGGAGGTTTGTGGGAGGATTTATGGAATGTAGCTTCCATCCTTATTGAGTATATCATAGTAAAAAAGGGAGAGGGGTGTTGTGAGTTAATATAATAATAATAATAATAATAACAAAAAAAATGTAATAATAAACAAAAGAGAGATGTCAGCGCAGGCCGGCCGTCCGGCGAGTCAGTGGGTTAGTGGAGAGTAGGGGAGGCTTGTGTGTCTCCGAGAAGTAGAGGAGTAGGCTACGAGTTAGGCCATCACGAAAAGGAAAAAAAAAAAGAACGTGTTAGTAAAGATTTTTTAATAAACTTATCAAAATTTGTTTAAAAAGGTAGGTAGGTAATATAAATATAATAAATAAGGTAGGTAGTAAATAAAGGGGGTAAAAAATCTATCTATTAGAATAGCAGCTGTATGCAAGAGAGAAGTTGGGGTCAGATCAGTCACCAACAGACATCCCAATTCAATAAAAAAAAAACCCACAACAAACGGAAGAGCCGACAATATAATATACTATAGAGCCAAACACTTGCAAAACTCGACAGTAAACACACTAAAATAATAGACAAAAAAAATGGTTGAGCATTATAAAAAAACTTTGAGCGCCAAGTATAAAGAGTAAAAAAAAATAATAATAATAATAAAAAATTTTAAAGTGGAAAAAAGTTTTAAAAATAACCTTTTTTATTGTTTAAAAAAAAAAGAAAAATATATAGAATTTGAATTGGAAATTAAAAAATAATAATAATAATAATAATAAATGCCTTGTAATAAATCTATCAAGCTTAACCCTGGAAATTTGTTTTTTTTTTTTTTTGTAAAATGTAATCCTAACAAACAAATGGTATCCCAACACTACTACCTAGGGAAATAAGTGGGCTGGAGCGAATGAACAACACTAACAGGCGCGCGCCTCTATATAATTTCCATTAATAATAATAATAAATAGGGAGCGAGAGCGAGGAATGTCGAAAGATTAAAGGAACCAACCTCATTCAAGAGCGAGGGTAGGGGGACTGGTAGCGGCACCGGGAGACCTCTGGTACGGGTGCTCACGCAGGTTTAACCGTCTCCGTGTTTTAGCACCTAGAGCACCACACGTGAGACCCACACCGAACACCTTCCTGCCGCCCAACGCCTCTATGCAAATATACACAATACATTAGCACTTACCTCTCTGCCAGGCCTATGTTTAGGCCAGGCTTTTACCTGATTTGTTTAGAACCTATATTCATTTAAGAATACGTTCAGACCATAGCTTTGTTTTGGCCTTCTTGTTTACTAGCTTCATATAGAATCTTTTCAGCCCTAGTTTTGACCAGGCTTAGGTGTTTTTGGCCTAGCTTCATCTAGTACCTGTTCAGCCCTAGTTTTGACCAGGCTTAGCTTTGTTTTTGGCCTAGCTTCATCTAGTACCTGTTCAGTCCTAGTTTTGACCAGGCTTAGCTTTGTTTATGGCCTAGCTTCATCTAGTACCTGTTTAGCCCTAGTTTTGACCAGGCTTAGCTTTGTTTATGGCCTAGCTACATCTAGTACCTGTTCAGCCCTAGTTTTGACCAGGCTTAGCTTTGTTTATGGCCTAGCTTTATCTAGAACCTGTTCAGCCCTAGTTTTGACCAGGCTTAGCTTTGTTTATGGCCTAGCTACATCTAGAACCTGTTCAGCCCTAGTTTTGACCAGGCTTAGCTTTTTTATGGCCTAGCTACATCTAGTACCTGTTCAGCCCTAGTTTTGACCAGGCTTAGCTTTGTTTATGGCCTAGCTTCATCTAGAACCTGTTCAGCCCTAGTTTTGACCAGGCTTAGCTTTTTTATGGCCTAGCTACATCTAGTACCTGTTCAGCCCTAGTTTTGACCAAGCTTAGCTTTGTTTATGGCCTAGCTACATCTAGTACCTGTTCAGCCCTAGTTTTGACCAGGCTTAGCTTTGTTTATGGCCTAGCTACATCTAGAACCTGTTCAGCCCTAGTTTTGACCAGGCTTAGCTTTGTTTATGGCCTAGCTACATCTAGTACCTGTTCAGCCCTAGTTTTGACCAGGCTTAGCTTTGTTTATGGCCTAGCTACATCTAGAACCTGTTCAGCCCTAGTTTTAACCAGGCTTAGCTTTGTTTATGGCCTAGCTTCATCTAGAACCTGTTCAGCCCTAGTTTTGACCAGGCTTAGCTTTATTTTTGGCCTAGCTACATCTAGAACCTGTTCAGCCCTAGTTTTGACCAGGCTTAGCTTTGTTTATGGCCTAGCTTCATCTGTTCAGGCACTGTTTTTAAATTATTTTGACCAGGCTTAGCTCTGTATATGGCCTAGCTTCATCTAAGACCTGCTCAATCCTAGTTTTGACCAGGCTTAGCTTTGTTTATGGCCTAGCTACATCTAGTACCTGTTCAGCCCTAGTTTTGACTAGGCTTAGCTTTGTTTATGGCCTAGCTACATCTAGTACCTGTTCAGCCCTAGTTTTGACTAGGCTTAGCTTTGTTTATCGTCTAGCTACATCTAGTACCTGTTCAGCCCTAGTTTTGACCAGGCTTAGCTTTGTTTATGGCCTAGTTTCATCTGTTCTGGCACTATTTTAAAATTATTTTGACCTAGATTCACCTGAAGCCTGATTGATCACAAAAGATGAATCATTTATATTATCTATTATAACCAATTCATACCTGTTTGTCTGGGCCTATCATTACTTCAAAACAACAGCATGGCAAAACATTTCTGGGGAATATTTCTTTCAAAACCATTATAAATATGCAAGCACAAATAAAATATAAAAATCAACCAACTATAAATTTAAAAAAATTTCATAATAATATAAAATATAACCAATTTGAAAAAAAAAAAAAAGAAAAAAAAACATTGAATTGTGAATTAGGAACTTGCGATTTTTTTTTTCTCACACAATAATAAAATATAATAAATATATATATATCTATATAATAATAATAATAATAATAATATAATAATAAATATATACTTGTATATATATATATATATATTTAAAAAACCATATCCTTAAAAATAACAGATAAATATAGCATCCACCCTTTTTCTTTTTTTTTTTACTTGAAAATATATAAATCTCTTTAAAAAAAACACAACACTGAGGTATTTTAAACTGCTGAGCAAAATCTATCTAAATATATATAAATATATATGACACACCACATATATATATATATATATAAATAATTATAAATACTAACAATTTCATCTTTATCCAACCATTCATATATATATATATATAGCTACTGTCAAAAAGAAAAGTACTTTATATAAAAATATAATCAATACAAAAAAGAGGGAGAAGAGAAGAAGAAAAAAAGACTATAAAATTATAGACCAAAAATATACAGAAGAGCTACTACATATATATATATATATGTATATTACATATAAAAAACTTTCAATAGAGATAAAAGGATCAGCTATATTGACAGGACAGCCAATCTACCTACTAGGTGTGTGTGTGTGTGTGTGTGTGGCCCACAACCAATCAGAAGGAATGTAATGACGCGATGGTATTATCTACAAGTGAGGAAGCTATGTACATGCATCCACACACACACATACATACATACACGAGTGTGAAGGAGCAAGCTAGGTAGAATGAGGCTTAACGGCCACCAAACAACCCACCATGATCCCCTGCGGTAGCGGCAGTAGGGTACTCTGCCAGGAGTGGGGAGGCCAGGGCAGCGTACTGATGGCAGTCTGCTGCGTAGGCAGAATACAGAAGTCCTGCTGCATCCCCTGGAGCAATGAGTGGAGGTGGACCGCTGCCGTTGAGCAAGGCTGCGGTAGTGGGGATGGGCAGCCTGGGGGACAGGATGAGGGGGGCTCCCAGGGGTGTGCCAGGGGTGCGCATAGGGGCAGAAAGAGCCAGGGGGGGGGCAAAGAGCCTGGCAGGCTCCAGGCCTACACACACTGCTCAAACCTTAGCTTCCATATCAGCTTCTCTTAGGCAAACACATCACCAGATACATCCTGTTCTAAGAAATTCTCTCTCATCTTATAATGCTAGACCATTCTGTTAGTTATCAAACCAATCCTTCCAAGGACAATGGAAGATCTCCTGATGAGTCACTACTAGCACCCCAATGAGAGCTAACCATTCATTAAAACTGGATGTTACATGGCCACAGCTAGATTTTTAATCCTGATGAGGGTGAATGAGATTCACAGAAACATTAGGAAATCCTGATACAGTAGAACATACTCCATGAGAGGACACCTGCACTAGATGACACCTCTCTACAAAAGACAGTTTTCATTGTCAAAATTACCATTTTTACTATTTGACAACTCTTTGACTCTGAAATTAGGTGTTGTCCTTTACAGGGAGG